GCCCTTTCTCCTTGCTTTCCTGGGGTCTCCAGGGGCCTCCCCCCAGTCCCACCTTGCTCTCAGCCTGGACCATACCTGGGTGCGCCGCCAGCAGGACTGCGAGCAACAGCGCCCCGCACGCCCAGGCCGGTGCGTCCGGGGGCTCCATGTTCACGGCGGCGGCGGCGATTGAGTCCGGGCTGCAGCTCGGCCGCTGCGGGGCTGGGAGCCAGAGGCCCCGCCCCCGGCAGCCCCGCCCCGCCCCGCCCTCCAGGCCCCCCTCGTCCCCCCGTGCCCGGGCGCGGGGCCAGGACCTCCCACTACCCGGAGCGGACCTCCCAGTGCACGGGGCCAGGCTCGGGGCTCCCTCCGCCCCCAAGTCCAGGGCTGTCCCGGGTAACTGGCCAGCGCCCACAGCGGGGGTCCTGATCGATTCGTGTAGCCAGTGACCCGGGCTAGGGTCTCCCCAGGCAATCGTGGACCCTCTCCCCGTTAGTGTGACTTGGGGACTCGTCCCCACTGGGACCAGCAGCCTAGGGTGGCACTGTCGATTTTAACCAGCAGACCCCACTACAACCGGTGGCCCGCACTGGCCTCTCCCAGTCTAACCAGTGGCCCCAAGCAGCTGCTCCCAGTATGTTTTCCCCTGTGGTCAGTGCTCTGGGCGGCTTTCCGCGTCTGCCCAGTCGCCTGGAATCAACCCGTTTAACCTCTTATCTCCAACGGTCTTCAAATCCAGTTCCTCCTAGGCCACTTTGATGATGGGGCTGGGGGTGGAGTGCGGGGTGCTCTCTCGCTTGCTCACCCATGGAAGGCCCTCCCACTCGTCCCCCAATCCAGAGAATCCCAGGAATGCCACCCTCCCTCTCTCCTTCCCGCTCTCGCTCGATTCCCTCGCAACCTCGTGGGGAGGGGAGGAGTCGGGCTGGAGGGAGCAGGTGAGAAGGGTAGGGAGGAGGCCAGGGCACCTGCTGGAAGGGGGAGGAGTCCAGCCGCGGCAGGGAAGGGTGGGGTCACAGGTCGGACGGCAGGAGCCCCCTAAAGGCCAGGTCAGACTCGGACAAAATCCCCCACTAGATGTCACTAGTTACCTGGGAGAAGCTAGCCAAGGACAGTGGTCAGAAGGGGGGATTGGGGAGGTGGGCTTTGCCTGTTCAGAAACACAGAGAAGGCTTGGATTACAGGTGAGCCTGGGAGTTACTAGACTGGTCAAGGCTGCTTTATCCATTGGCCACACGGGAGAGCAACGCTTTTGTTTTTTGTTTTTAGAGAGGGTCTTGCTCTGTCACCCAGGCTGGAGGGCAGTGGTGCACTCATAGCTCACTGAAACCTCCACCTCCTGGGCTCAAGCAATCCTTCCACTTCAGCCTCCCAAGTAGCTGGGACTACAGGTGTGTGTTACCACACCCAGCTAATTTTTGTAGTTGTTTTTTTTTTTGAGACGGAGTTTCGCTTTTGTTACCCAGGCTGGAGTGCAATGGCGCGATCTCGGCTCACTGCAACCTCCGCCTCCTGGGTTCAGGCAATTCTCCTCCCTCATCCTCCTGAGTAGCTGAAATTACAGGCACGCGCCACCACGCCCAGCTAATTTTTTGTATTTTTAGTGGAGGCGGGGTTTCACCATGTTGACCAGGATGGTCTCGATCTCTTGACCTCATGATCCACCCGCCTTGGCCTCCCAAAGTGCTGGGATTACAGGTGTGAGCCACTGTGCCCGGCCCTGTAGTTTTTTTGTAATAGAAACAGGGTAATACTGTGTTGCTCAGGCTGGTCTCCAACTCTTGGGCTCAAGCGATCCTCTCGCCTTCCATAGTGTTGGGATTACAGGCATGAGCCACTGAATCCATCCGAGAGAGCAACTGTTAAACTGGAAAAGATGACCCTTTAGGATTAGCTGTACCATCCCGTCCTCCAGGAAGTCTCGTTTGCCTTCCCTGGCTGGGTCAGTTTCCCCCTCTGAGCTCCCCACCCCAGCCCTGCACACTCTGAGTCCCTGGCTGGGGATGTGTTGTCCCCCTCAGTGGACTGTGAGCCTATGACGGCAGGGCCAGGGATGTCGTGATCACTGTGGTGAGCTAAGGGCTCCTCCCCTGGGCACCCCGCCCAGTGCAAGACCAGACAGAGTGCAGGTGCTCAGGGAAGGTTTGCAAAGCACACAAGCTCACGTGCAGGTTCCACCCAAACTGGAGCATCCCAGGATACACAACACAAATGAACTCATGGGTATTTTGTTCCCGTTTTACAGAACAGACAACTGAAGCCTAGAAGGGTTAAGTACCATGCCCAAAATCACACAGCTGAGATGTGGACCCAGATACTGGATATTTTAGTTTGGAAATGATGCTATTAATACCATAGACTGAGACTGGGTGCGGTGGTGGCTCACGCCTGTAATCCCAGCAGTTTGGGAGGCCGAGGCAGTGGGATCACTTGAGTTTAGGAGTTTGAGACCAGCCTGACCAACATGGTGAAACCGTGTCTCTACTAAAAATACAAAATTAGCCGGGCATGGTGGCACATGCCTGTAGTCCCAGCTACTCAGGAGGCTGAGGCAGGTGAACCACTTGAAACCGGGAGGTGGAGGTTGCAGTGAGCCGAGATCGCGCCATTGCACTCCAGCCTGGGCAATGAGAGTGAAACTCCGTCTCAAAAAAAAAAAAAAAAGGTTCTAGGTGAGGAAGGACAACTCTATGGCTCGTGTATGAGGGAGAGAAGTCAGAAACATCAAAACAGCAGCCCTGGCCCCTTGCAGACTTGCAGAAATCAGTCTCATAACACCGTCTGCCTTTGTTCCCTGTAACTCATTCTCACAGAGCAGCCTGAGGGATCCCTGTTAAATGTGCGTCAACTCATGTCACTCTTTTGCCCCAGGGTCCTCCCATGACTTCTGTCTCACTCAGGGTAAAAGCTGAGGTCCAGGCCAGGCTCAGGGCCTCAAGTCTGTAATCCCAGCAATTTGGGCGCCTGAGGCGGGAGGATCACGTGAGCTTGGGAGTTTGAGACCAGCCTGGGCAACACAGTGGAATGCTGTCTCTACAAAAAATACAAAAACTAACTGGGTGTGGTGGTGCATGCCTGTAGTCCCTGCTAAATGGGAGGCTGAGGCGTGAGGATCCATCACTGGAGCCCGGAAGGTCGGGGCTGCAGTGAGCCGTGATCGCACCATTGCACTCCAGCCTAGGTGGAAGAGTAAAACCCTGTCGCAAACAAAATCAAATCAAATCAAATAGCAACTCCTTTTATCCCAGCCACTCCTTATTTCTTAGCTTGCATTTTCCTTGATAGCATCTATTGCTGCCAGATAAATCATGTTTGGTTACTTTTTGTTTATCTTGTCCAGAATTTGCAAAAGAACAGGAAGTTGCTCTGTCCAACTCTGCATCTCCAGTGTCTAGAACAGTGCTTGGCATGAGGTGGGGATGAGTACATACTTGTGGACTGAATTCAGTAACATTCTCATTCCATCCATGCTGTCGCATGTATAGATCCTTGTGTGTGTGTGTGTGTGTGTGTGTGTGTTTGTATCTGTGTGTATTTTGTTGTTGTTGTTGAGATGGAGTCCTGCTCTGTTGCCCAGGCTGGAGTGCAATGGCACGATCTTAGCTCACTGCAACCTCCGCCTCCCAGGTTCAAGTGATTCTCCTGCCTCAGCCTCCCAAGTAGCTGGGATTACAGGCACGTGCCACCATGTCTGGCTAATTTTTTGTATTTTTAGTAGAGACGGAGTTTCACTGTGTCAGTCAGGATGGTCTGGTCTTGATCTCCTGACCTCGTGATATGCCCACTTTGGCCTCCTAAAGTGCTGGGATTACAGGCATAAGCCACCATGCCTGGCCATCCTCATATATTTTAACTTGTAAGACTTATCTTTTCTGAAACTGGGCTCAAGTGATCCTCCTGCCTCGGCCTCCCAAAGTGCTGGGATTACAGGTGTGAGCCACCACGCTTGGCCAGATTTGCCTTTTCATTTTTCCTGAGACAGAGTTTCACTTTTGTGAAAGATCACACAATGGCGTGATCTTGGCTCACTGCAACCTCAGCCTCCCAAGTTCAAGCAATTCTCCTGCCTCAGCCTCCCAAATAGCTGGGGTTACAGGCATGTACCACCAGGCCCAACTAATTTTGTATTTTTAGTAGACACGGGGTTTTTCCACATTGGCTAGGCTGGTTTCAAACCCCTGACCTCAGGTGATCCACCCGCCTCAGCCTCTTCAGTGTTGGGATTACAGGCATGAGCCACTTCACCCAGCCCCTCCCACACTTTTGAATATCGCAGAAGCATCAGGAATTGGCCATCTCTTTCAGCCATGCATGGCAACTGGGACAGATTCTATTTTCCAAAGATGGCTACAACAATCTTTTTTTTCTTTTCGAGACAGGGTCTTGGTCTGTCACCTAGGTTGGAGTGCAATGGCATGATCGTGGTTCACTGCAGCCTCCAGCACTCAAATGATCCTCTCACCTCAGCCTCCTGAGTAGCTGTGAGTACAGGTGTGTGCCACCACTCCTAGTTCTTTTTTTGGTTTTTGGTAGGAATGGGGTTTCACCACGTTGCAACAATCTCTTTCATCCCACATGTGTTTCTACAATCAGAGCCTGATACTCTTTCCATCAAGAGGTGGGATCTATGGCACCCTTCTCTCAAATCTGTGCAGTTTGGTGGCTTCCATGTAACCAACAGAATTCAGCTGAAGAGAAGTTGTGGAATCCCCAAAATGAGCTAGAAAAGGCCAAGTAGCTTCTGCCTGGGTCTTCAGCACCCATATATAAAGAGTCTGACTACCTTGAGGCAGCCATGTTGTGGGGAAGCCCAAGCTAACCAGGGCAGATACCACATGGTGGGGGAGGCCCTGAGACCACAAAGAGACGCCCACCTGTCCAGCACCTGCAGCTGCCCTGCTTCAAGCATCACTGATTGCACCATTTGCATCCTGAGCCAGAACAAACCAGCCATGCCTTTCTCCAAATCCTGGCTCACAGCAACCATAAGACCTAATGCAATGGTTGCTGTTATTTGTGGCTAAGTTGTGAAGTGATTTGTTACCAGCCACAGCTAATGAGAAGAGCAGCCACATCCTGTTTCTGGGGCAGCAGAGGCAGCAAGACAACTACAATGTCCAGTGGTCATCACTAGCATGACCCCATCAGACCGGTTCTGGGTGACTGTGGCTGCAGCACCACTACTGGCCAGCAGCGAGGATTCTTCCTGCTCACTTCCCAATCCTGATTCCCCAGTTCACTCCTGGGATTTTGCGAGTGACCCCAGATCCTCTCCATAAATTCCCTTTCTGCCCCTGAGGTGGTGTCTGTTGCTTGGAACCAAATCTGTGATACATTCTTTTAAGCCTTTTGTCTGTTGAAATATTTTTGATCATTCAAAACATTTTCTTTTCCTTTTTGAGACAGGGTCTTGCTCTGTTGCCCAGGCTGGAGTGCAGTGGTGTAATCTCAGCTGACTGCAGCCTCGACCTCCCGGACTCAAGCCATCCTCCCACCTCAGCCTCCTGAGTAGCTAGGACTTACAGATATGTGCCACCATGCCTGGCTAATTTTTCCAAAATTTTTTGTAGAGGTGGGAGTTTCATCATGCTGCTCAGGCTGGTCTCAAACTTCTGAGCTCAAGCGACCTGCCTGCCTCAACCTTCCAAAGTGCTGGGATTACAGCTGTGAGCCACCACGTCTGACTTCATCATCTTTGAAGTCTCAGCTCAGACACTGCCTCTTCCTGGAAGCACTCCCTGACCTTCCAGGCTGAGTCAGGTGCCCCCTCTGGGTTCCTGCAACCCCCTGGGATTCCCTACCCCAGTCGTGCCCACTCTGGGTCATCACTACCTAGGTACGGGTCCCTTCTCTCTACTGGAAGGTGAGCCCTAGTGGGGCAGTGCTCGAGGCTTCCTGACCGGCATTTTAAACAAGGTGGAGGAGGCTTCGGTCACTCCAAGATGAGTCATGAGGTGGTATCTCTTATTCCTCAGCAAGAGTTAGACTGGAAATTACTAGTTATTCTGGGAGAAAGATGTCAGAGAGGAGTGAAGGACAGAGAGAAGGGTAAGAGCAGAGCGTGGCAGGGCAGGGTGGATGGCCATCAGGAAAACGTGTGGTCATTTTCACAGAGACTTAACTGGATGTCTGGGGCTGGGTCTAGGGATGTTTTTTTTCCCCATGATGGAGAAGGAAGGTTGGATGCCTGATTCTCTGAGAACTTGGGATCCTGGACTCCTAAATCCTGAGAGCAGGACTCCTGTGTATCGCAGAGAAGCCTGGGGGCCCAGTTTCCTTTTTTTCCTCTCGGCCTGTCACCCAGGCTGGAGTGCTGTGGTGCGATCACAGCTCCTTGCAACGTTGGCTTCCCAGGCTTAATCTTTCCCTTTTGGCCTCCCCAAGCCTTGGAATTACAAGTGTGAGCACTGTGCCAGATCCAAGATTCCATTAGAAGATCAGAGGGTGAAGGGGGCTGGGGCCTGGACTTCTGGGTCTGAGGATGGAGGGGGCTGGGGGCCTGGACTCCTGGGTCTGAGGATGGAGGGGGCTGGGGGCCTGGACTCCTGGGTCTGAGGATGGAGGGGGCTGGGGGCCTGGACTCCTGGGTCTGAGGGAGGATGGGCTGGGGACCTAGACTCCTGGATCTGAGGGAGGAGGGGGCTGAGGTCTGGATTCCTGGGTCTGAGGGAGGATGGGCTGGGGTCAGGACTCCTGGGTATGAGGATGGAGGGGGCTGGGGTCAGGACTCCTGGGTATGAGGATGGAGGGGGCTGGGGGCCTGGACTCCTGGGTATGAGGATGGAGGGGGCTGGGGGCCTGGACTCCTGGGTCTGAGGATGGAGGGGGCTGGGGGCCTGGACTCCTGGGTATGAGGATGGAGGGGGCTGGGGGCCTGGACTCCTGGGTCTGAGGATGGAGGGGGCTGGGGGCCTGGACTCCTGGGTCTGAGGGAGGATGGGCTGGGGACCTAGACTCCTGGGTATGAGGATGGAGGGGGCTGGGGTCAGGACTCCTGGGTATGAGGATGGAGGGGGCTGGGGGCCTGGACTCCTGGGTCTGAGGGAGGATGGGCTGGGGTCAGGACTCCTGGGTCTGAGGGAGGATGGGCTGGGGTCAGGACTCCTGGATATGAGGGGAGGAGGGGCTGGGGTCTGGACTCCTGTGGGTCAGGTGGGGACCAGGCCTGGGGACTGCCCTTTCCCAGTGCCCGCTGCCCTGTGCTACCCCCTGCTGGCCACTGCACTCTTTGCACCCTGGAGGACAGAGCAGGCTTGGCAGTTTATTTCCTATTCACCACCCCCTTCCAGACCTTGGGGCTCCCGTTAGCAGCACATCTTGGGGCCCTGCAGGCGGAGAGAGGAGTGGGTTAGTTTAGGGCACCTGCAGGTGGAGGAGGTAGAGTGGGCCAGGGAGGGTTAGGAGAGTGGACTCACCCGCCTCAGGCCGGGGCAGGGTCCTGGGCTCCTAGGGCAGCTGGAGGGAAGTTCCCCTTTAGAAGTCTCTGCAATGCAGAGTTTGAGAGGGTGGTTGATTCTCGGCATCCAGCCTTTCCCGCTTCTCCTCTTCCCTGTCCCCTTTATCTTAGACCTGGGAGTCCCAGAGCACCCTTCCAGTCCCTCCACTTACTCTGTAGCCCCCTCCCTGGCGTGGGGGCTGGAGGTGGCTTCCGGTGGGGCTGAGGCCACAGTCTTAATTCTCGGCAAGGGAAGAGGGGCCCGAAGTGTGGGGAAGGCCACAGGTGCCTGGGGGTGGGGGGAGGAGATGAAGAAATGTCCCGTTAGCTGCAGCCTGGGGCCTGGGGACGTCATTTCAGAGGACCTGGACAGGGAGGACACATGACTGGACCCCTGGCCTTGTCCCCAGCCCATGCTGCCTTTTCCCTCTCGCCTCTAACTTGTGTAGGAAGAAGTTTTAGTTTGTCTGCTCACCTGTCCATCCATGTGTCTATCACTTCTGCTCACTCCTGCGCCCCACACACTCCCCGAACCCCTCCAATAGAGCGGGCCTTCCCTCCCTCTCCTTTCCCTTTCTCCTTCCTTCTTTTCCTTTTTCTTTCCTTTTTCATTTTTCTCTCTTTCTCCCTCTCTTCCTCCCTCCCTTCCTCCTTCTCTTCTTTCCTTCTTTTTAAAAACAAAAACAAACAAAGAAAAAACAGGTGCCCGGTGGGCGCGGTGCTCACGCCTGTAAACCAGCACTTCCGGAGGCCACGGTGGGCGGATCATCTGATGTCAGGACTTTGAGACCAACCTGGTTAACATGGTGAAAAACCAGTCTGTGAAAAACAATACAAAATTAGCCAGGCATGGAGGCGCACACCTGTAGTCCCAGCTACTTGGGAGGCTGAGGCAGGAGAATCATTTGAATCCAGGAGGTGGGGGTTGTGGTGAGCCAAGATTGCACCACTGCACTACAGCCTGGGTAACAAGAGCGAAACTCTGTCTCAAGCAAAACAAAACAAAACAAAACAGCCAGGCGCGGTGGCTCACGCCTGTAATCCCAGCACTTTGGGAGGCCAAGGTGGGTGGGTCACAAGGTCAGGAGTTCAAGACCAGCCTGGCCAACATGGTGAAAACCTCGTCTCTACTAAAATTACAAAAATTAGCCACGGGTGGTGGTGGGCTCCTGTAGTCCCAGCTACTCAGGAGGCTGAGGCAGGAGAGTTGCTTGAACCCGGGAGGCAGAGGTTTCAGTGAGCTGAGATCACGCCACTGCACTCAGCCTGGGCAACAAAGCGAGACTCAGTCTCAAAAAAAACCAAAAACCAAAAAACCACAACAAAGTCTCACTCTGTTGCCTGCGCTGGAAGCAGCGATGAGACATAGCCCAGTGCAGCTATGACCTCCTGGGCTCAATCCATCTTCCCGCCTCAGCCTCCCAAAGTGCTGGGATTACAGGCAGGAGCCACCGCTCCAGGCCAAGGCCCTGTTCTCAGCTCTGAGAATAAGATGAGAAACTATCTTCGTCCTGTTGCAGCTGATGCTCTCCTGAGCCTGAGCCTTGCAGTGACTGATCGGCTCCTGAAGAAGGCAATGTCTCAGAGTGTGTTCCTCCCAGAGCGCCTGGGAGAGAGGAAGATGCCGGGAAGCCTCTTGGAGATGGGATGACCCAGCTGATGCCTGACAGCAAGAAGGATCCAGAGGCTCCCAGTGGATGGGGCCTGCTGGCTAGCTGGAAGGGCAGCAAGCGTCCAGTGTTGCTGGAAAGGAGGTGGAGTGGGGGAGGGCAAGAGGTGGGGAAGGAGGTCACATCCCCAGTCCCAGGTCTTTAGGGAGTCAAGAGGACTTGAGTTCTTGGGGCCCTGGGGAGGCAGTAGGAATTTCCTTCTTTCTTTTTTTATGAGATGGAGTTTTTGCTGTGTCACCCAGACTGAGTGCAACCATCTTTGCTCACTGCAACTTCCACCTCCTGGGTTCAAGCGATTCTCCTGCCTCAGTCGCCCGAGTAGCTGGGATTACAGGTGCTCGCCACCACACCCAGCTAATTTTTGTATTTTTTAGTAAAAATGGGGTTTCACTATGTTGGCCCTGGTCTTGAACCCCTGACCTCAAGCAATCTGCCCACCTTGGCCTCCCAAAGTGCTGAGATTATAGGTGTGAGCCACTGCGCCCGGCCGCCAGTGGGGATTCCTGAGACGTGAGGGAGGGGATAAGACTCAGGTTACAGATGACTGATCTCCTGGCCTCATCAAAACTCATGGAGAGGGTAGACGAAGCCGCTCATGCCAGTAATCCTAGCACTTTGGGAGGCTGAGGTGGGTGGATCACGAGGTCAAGAGATCGAGATCACCCTGGCCAACATGGTGAAAACCCATTTCTACTAAAAATACAAAAATTAGCTGGGTGTGGGGGCCTGCGCCTGTAGTCCCAGCTACTTGTGAGGCTGAGGCAGGAGAACTGCTTGAACCCGGGAGTCAGAGGTTGCTGTGAGCCGAGATCGTGCCATTGCACTCCAGTCTGGCGACAGAGCAAGACTCTGTCTTTAAAAAACAAAACAAAACCAAAACCAGCCCATGGGGCTTGTGCCAGGCTGGTCCCCATTATCCCCATGGATACCCCGAGGGCCAGAGAGATCCCCAGTGGTCAGTGGGGTGAAGAGGTTCAGCTCAATGGCAGTGTTGAATCCTAAAGGTAGGTTTCTCAGATGGAGAAAGCAGTGTGCAGAGAGCAAGCCCAGGGGACACAGCACCATACACAGATCACAGCCACAGTGACACTGACCACTGACACAGTCCCACCACATCCAGTGTCCACAGCAGCTCCACCCCCATCTCTGAAAAACAATTTAATAATGAGCCAGGTGTGGTGACGTGCACCTGTGGTCCCAGCTACTCTGGGGGTTAAGAAGGGAGGATCACTTGAGCCCAGAAGATTGAGGCTATAGTGAGCTGTGACTGCACCACTGCACTCCAGCCTGGGTGACAGAGGCCCCATCTTAAAAAAAAGGAAAAAGCAGGGCCAGGCGCGGTGGCTCACACCTGTAATCCCAGCACTTTGAGAGGTCAAGGCGGGCAGATCACCTGAGATCAAGAGTTTAAGGACGGGCGCGGTGGCTCAAGCCTGTAATCCCAGCGCTTTGGGAGGCCGAGGCGGGTGGATCACGAGGTCAAGAGATCGAGACCATCCTGGTTGACATGGTGAAACCTCGTCTCTACTAAAAATACAAAAAATTAGCTGGGCACTGTGGCGCGTGCCTGTAGTCCCAGCTACTCAGGAGGCTAAGGCAGGAGAATTGCCTGAACCCAGGAGGCCGAGGCTGCGGTGAGCCGAGATCGCGACATTGCACTCCAGCCTGGGTAACAAGAGGGAAACTCCGTCTCAAAAAAAAAAAAAGAAGGAAAAAAAAAGTGCTGACAGTTGCCTTGCTGAGAAGAGCAAACCCAAGGCTGTCTCTTCCGTGGTATGTTCTGAAGAATGAAAGGGTAGGTAGGAGTGGACTGGAATTTTAATCAGGCAGGGTTTGGGGAGAGGAGGAAAGGACGGGTGAGGTGGAGGGTACGGCCTGGCAAAGCTGTGACCGTCAGGCTCGAGGTGCCTGCCTGCCTGCTGTCCTGGCTGTTCCCCTGTCACTGTCCTCAGGGAGCCGGCTGAGTGCCTCCTAATGTTTCCATTTGCTTCTGGCTGCAGGTTGGATCTGTTTTTAGCTTTTCTGGCTGGCTGCCCCCCCTCCCCCCTCCGTCCCCTCCCCCTTCCTGCCGGCTCTCTTGTTTGCTGTGGTAGAATAATGTTCCCGGACTTCCTGAGCTGTTTGTTTGAAGGCAGCTGAGTATTGATCGAAGCCTGTGTGTACTCAGCCAGAGATGGGAGCAGAGATCTGCCTCTCCCCAGCAATCCAGGGTCCCCAAAATCCTGCGGTGGCAGCGTGGGGAGAAAAGAAAGCCAGGGCAGGGCTCATTAAAAAATAAGTAGGTCGAGCGCAGTGGCTCACATCTGTAACCCCAGCACTTTGGGAGGAGGCCCAGGCGGGCAGATCACCTGAGGTTGGGAGTTACTGACCAGCCTGACCAATATGGTGAAACCCGTCTCTATTAAAACATACAGAATTAGCCAGAAGTGGTGATACATGCATGTAATCGCAGCTGCTTGGGAGGCTGAGGAAGGAGAATCATTTCAACCTGGAGGCAGAGGTTGCAGTGAGCTGAGATTGCACCATTGCACTCCAGCCTGGGCAACAAGAGCAAAACTCCATCTTAAAACAAAACAAAAAATAAGGGCCCGGTGCACTGGCTCACCCCTGTAATCCCAGAACTTTGGGAGGCCAAGGCAGGCAGATCACGAGGTTAGGCGTTTGAGACCAGCCTGGCCAACACAGTGGAACCCCATCGCTACTAAAAATACAAAATTAGCTGGGTGTGGTGGTGCATGCCTGTAATCCCAGCTACTCGGGAGACTGAGGCACGAGAATTGCTTGAAGCTGGGAGGCAAAGGTTGCAGTGAGCCAAGACAGCACCACTGCACTCCAGCCTGGGTGACAGTGAAAGATCTGTCTCAAAAAAAAAATAAATAAATAAAAAGAACAAAAGAAAAGAAAACAAGGGAAGAGGTCACAGAGGGGATGGGTGCCAAGGATGAGTCTCTGCCCTGGCACCCCTGAGTGCCAGGTGGACCAGGGACCCAGCCCCAACCTCAGACCAGCGCCCGACTCACCACCTTTGTCTGAGCATTCCTGAGTTTCCTCGGGGACAGTTCTGACCGTGGGGGCAGTGGAGGGGCCGAAAGGGGCACCTGGAGGGAACAGACATGGACAGGGGAGCTTTCCAGCTGCCACTTTCTTCTCACCTTCATGTTGTCCTGCCTAGGCCTGGCATTCAGGCACTGTTCTAGACTCAGGATATAACCAAGACCAAGAAAAGTACCAACACTGAGGAGGGTTACAAGCAGGGAAAGCCTCAGCCCCAGCCTTTGGGGAAGCAAAAGATCAGGCCCCTAGGACCTGAGAATCTTGTTATCAGCCCCTGTTCTCTTAGAACCCAGGAGTCCAGGCCCTCAGCTCCTCCCCGCTCAGACCCGGGAGTCCAGGCCCCCAGCTCCTCCTCCCTCAGACCCTGGAGTCCAGACCCCAGCCCCTCCTCCCTCAGACCCTGGAGTCCAGACCCCAGACCCTCCTCCCTCAGACACAGGTGTCTAGGCCCCCAGCTCCTCCTCCCTCAGACCCAGGAGTCCAGACCCCAGCCCCTCCTCCCTCAGACACAGGTGTCCAGGCCCCCAGCTCATCCTCCCTCAGACCCAGGAGTCCAAGCTCCCAGCTCCTCCTCCCTCAGACCCAGGAGTCCAGGCCCCAGCCCCTCCTCCCTCTGATGCAGGAATCTGGATTCCATCTCCTGCCTGGCCCTGCTCACCTGCCCCAGCTCCAGCTCCCTGCCTTCCTGGTGACTGCCATCTCCTGAGTCTTCAGCAGTAGCCTGGCCATGGAATTGGTAGATACTCACGGCCTCCCGGCCCTTGATCTCGCAGCGGCAGAAGGGGCAGGTCTGGCTGTCTGAGTGCTGGGGGGGCGGGGTTGGGAGGGAAAGGGTTAATGCACCTGCCCTCCTCTTGGGCCAAGGAGGAGCTCCCTGCCCAAAAGATTGATGTGGGGAGGACGGACAGAGGAAGGGAGCTGAAGGACAGAAGAGGAGTCCTGGAGAGAAGGGGAATGTGGAGGAAAATGCTGGGAGGGAAGGTGAGAGGGGAACGGAGCCAGAGCCCAGGTCAGGAGGGGCCGGCACAGGCTGGGGTCCCCGTGGGGCAGTGGCCACAGCTTCCAGGTCAGGCCTTTCCAGGCTCAAACCTCCCTGGCCCTTGTTTTTTTTTTTTTTTTTTTTGAGACAGAGCCTTGCTCTCTCAGGCTGGAGTGCAGTGGCACGATCTCAGCGCACTGCAACCTCTGCCTCCTGGGTTCCAGCAATTCTCCTGCCTCAGCCTCCCAGGTAGCTGGGATTATAGGCACCTGCCACCATGCCTGGCTAATTTTTTTGTATTTTTAGTAGAGATGGGGTTTCACCATCTTGGCCAGGCTGGTCTTGAACTCCTGATTCGTGATCCACCCACCTCGGACTCCCAAAGTGCTGGGATTACAGGCATGAGCCACTGCGCCCGGCTGACTCTTTTTTGTTTTGAGGCAAGAGTCTCCTTGTCACCCAGGCTGGAGTGCAGTGGCGTGATCTCTGCTCACTGCAATCTCCACCTCCTGGGTTCAAGCAATTCTCCTGCCTCAGCCTCCTGAGCAGCTGGGATTACAGGCACCCACCACCACACTTGGCTAATTTTTGTATTTTTAGTAGAGATGGGGTTTCACCATGTTGGCCAGGATGGTCTCAAACTCCTGAGCTCAAGTGATCCACTGGCCTCGGCCTCCCAAAGTGCTGGGATTACAGGCACGAGCCACTGAGCCCGGCCTTACTGTGGCCCTTGGGAGATCACTATCCTCAGCACCATTCTCCAGGAGACGAGGCCAAGGCTCAGAGAGGTGAAGCCATTGGCTCGGGATCACCCAGCAGGGTAGGAAGGAGAGCTTTCCACCTATAACATAGCTGGAGAGGGCGAAACAGAGGCAGTGTGTGCAGAGTGGGATGGAACCAGAGGCCCGGGGAAAGACAGCCGGGCTCCTGAGAGGTCCCTAGCTGCTCTCGGCCCTCTCTGGACTTCAGTTTCCCCATATGATCAATGAGGTATAGAGGAGGTCCTCTCCGGGCTTTCACTGTGGAGAGGGGGAGACCAGCCGGGAAGGTGGCGCAGGGATCAGGCCCACCTGCCAGGCAGCCAGGCAGCGGCTACAGAGCAGATGTCCACATGGCTCGATCTTCACATCCTTATTGCTCTCAGCACAAATCTTGCAGAGCTCAAATGTGGAGTCCATGGCCCAGTAGAGCTGCAGCTGCTCCTGGCAGGTGAGATGATAGAGGAGACCGTGAGGGGCATGCGTCAGCCGTGGGGACGCAACTCGGGCCACAGGAAGAAAATCCCAAACCTCGGCCAGGCACGGTGGCTCATCCCTGTAATCCTAGCACTTTGGGAGGCAGAGGCGGGCGGATCACCTGAGGTCAGGAGTTCGAGACCAACTTGGCCAGCATGTTGAAACCCTGTCTTTACTCAAAATAGAAAATTTAGCTGGAAGTGGTGGCTAATAGTAGTCCCAGCTACTCTGGAAGCTGAGGCAGGAGAATCGCTTGAACCCTGGAGGTGGAGTGAACCGAGATCGCGCCACCGGACTCCAGCCTGGGCGACAAAAGCAAAACTCCATCTCAAAAAAAACAGAAAACCAAAACAAAATCCCAAACCTCTGACTTGACACCTGTAATCTCAGTACTTCTGGTGGTCCAGGCAGGTGGACTGCTTGAGCCCAGGAGTTCTGGACCGACCTGGGCAGCACAGCAAGACCATGTCTCTATGTAAAATAATAGTAGGCCGGGCGCGGTGGCTCACGCCTGTAATCCAAGCACTTTGGAGGCCAGGGTGGGTGGATCACCTGAGGTCGGGAGTTCAAGACCAGCCTGGCCAACATGATGAAACACTGTCTTTAAAAAAAAAAAAAAAGTAATAATAATAAACCAAACCTCTACGCCAGACCTGAACCCGCTCCTAAGTTCAAGGTGAGCATGTCCAACTGCCTCCTACATGTCTTAACTCATTTTGTGTGTGTGTGTGTGTGTGTGTGTGTGTGTGTGTATATGTTTTGAGATGGTGTTTCACTCTGTGCCCAGGCTGGAATGCAATGGAATGATCTCAGCTAACTGCAAGCTCCGCCTCTGGGTTCAAGTGATTCTCCTGCCTCAGCCTCCCTAGTAGCTGGGACTACAGGTATGTGCCACCACGCCTGGCTAATTTTTGTATTTTTAGTAGAGATGGGGTTTCACCATGTTGGCCAGGCTAGTGTTGAACTCCTGACCTATAGTGATCTGCCTCCTTTGGCCTCCCAAAGTGCTGGGATTACAGGTGGGAGCCACCACGCCCGGCCACATCTTTACTCCTTGTTATGAGACTTCTCCCTAGTTGTCTACACCCAGTGGTACCACATTTAGCAAATAAAAATACTGGATTCTGCTAAATTTGAATTTTCTTTCCTTCCTTCCTTCCCTCCCTCCCTCCTCTCTTCTCTTTCCCTTTTTCTCTCTCTCTCTTTCCCTTCCCTCCTTTCTTCCCTCCCTCCCTTCTCTCCCCTCCCCCCTTCCTTCCTTCCTTCCCCTCCCTCCCCTCCCCTCCTTCCTTCCTTCCTACCCTCCCTCCCTCCCTCCCTCCCTCCCTCCCTCCCTTCCTTCCTTCCTTCCCCTCCCTCCCTCCCTCCCTCCCTTCCTTCCTTTCTTTCCCTCCTTCCCTTTCTTCCCTCTCTCCCTCTCTCTTTCTTTCTTCTGTTACCTAGGTTGAGGGTCACGATCTCAGCTCACTACAACCTCCAACTCCCAGGCTCAAGTGATCTTCCCACCTCAGCCTCCCAAGTAGGTGGGCTAATTTGTTGCATTTTTGGTAGAGATGGGGTTTCACCATGTTGCCCAGGCCCTTCTTGAACTCCTGAGCACAGGTGATCCACCTGCCTCAGCCTCCCAAACCTCTCAAAGTGCTGAGATTACAGGCATGAACCACCGCACCTAACCTAAATTTGAATTTCTTTTTTTTTCTTTTTGAGATGGAGTCTCACTCTCTTGCCCAGGCTGGAGTGCGGTGGCGCAATCTTGGTTCAAGTGATTCTTGTGCCTCAGCCGCCCAACTCTCATGCCTCAGCTTGGATTACAGGTGTGAGCACCATACCTGGGAAATTTCTGTAATTTGAGTAGAGATGGGGCTTTACTGTGTTGGCCAGGTTGGTCTCGAACTCCTGATCTCAAGGGATCCGCCTGCCTTGGCCTCCCAGAGTACTACGATTACAGGCATGAGCCACCACACCCGGCCTCTACATTTGAATTTCACATAAACACTGAATACAATTTGAAGTGTAAGAATGTTCCAAATATTGTATGGGATATATTTATACTAAAAAAATGTAGGGCCAGGTACAGTGGCTCACGCCTGTAATCCCAGCACTTTGGGAGGCAGAGGTGGGAGGATCGCTTGAACTTAGGAGTTCAAAACCAGCTTGGGCAACATAGTGAAAACCCATCTTTACAGAGAAATACAGAAATTAGCTGGGTGCAGTGGCTCACACCTGTAGTCCCAGCTGCTCAGGAGGCTGAGGTGGGAGGATCGCTTGAGCCTGGGAGGTCAAGGCTGCAGTGAGCCATGATTGCACCGCTGTGCTCCAGCTTGGGTGACAGAAGAGACCCTATCTCTAAAAATAAAAATAAATTATTTAGCTGGGCACAGTGGCTCGAGCCTGTAATCCCAGCACTTTGGGATGCTGAGACCGGTGGATCACCTGAGGTCAGGAGTTCAAGACCCACCTGACCAACATGGCGAAACCTCATCTCTACTAAAAATACAAAAATAGCTGGGTGTGGTGGCATATGCCTGTAGTCCCAGCTACTCGGGAGGCTGAGGCAGGAGAATCGCTTGAACCCAGGAGACGGAGGTTGGGGTGAGCCAAGATGGTGCCATTACACTCCAGCCTGGGCAAAAAGAGCGGAATTCTGTCTCAATAAATAAATAAATAAAAATAAAAATAAATTATTTGTTGTTTCTGTCTCACTCATGGGGTGGCTATGAAGATCAGGAGCTGGCAGGGGCTATCACTGGCTAGTGCTCAAATGCATTTGCTATCCTGATGATCTCAGCAGCGTCAGTTCCTTATTTAATCCCTGTGATCACCCCTGGGAGAGAGGCAGGAGGAGCCATATTTTCTGGAAGAATAACTGAGCCTCAGAGAGGTCAAGTGATTTACCCAAGGTCACACAGCCACCAAGCCAGCATTCCACCGCAGGCCTCTGAGGCCAGGCAGCGTGGGTGTGGCAGGGTCGGGGAACGGGGACAGAGGGTGCAGGCGCGTGTCTCACCTCTGACACGTGGATGCGCTGCTGGGGTCCTGCCTGGCAGAGCTCAGTCAGGTCTGGGTTGTGGTTCTTTCCATCTGGGTAGAGGTAGCTGGGGGAAGGGAAGAGAGAGTGACTGGGGGACCATCCCGTATCTCCCACCCCAGGATGAACAAGGATCTTTCCCCCACAGGGCCCCATATTTCCCTGAGATGAGGATCTGTCCCAAATCCGTTGCTGGCCTGGGGTTCTCTTCCCTCTGCCCTCCTCTAATCGGGACTGTGTCTTCTCAAATACCCCAGGGAAGGGCTGTGTGCACTCAGACCCCCAAAGAAGGGGACACAAAACCTCAGTGACTCAAGCTCTAAAAACAAGGATGAGATAGAATAAGAACCAGAACACAGGATGAAAATTTCTGGCTTGGCCGGGCGTGGTGGCTCATGCCTGTAATCCAAGCATTTTGGAGGCCAAGGCGGGCAGATCACCGGAGGTCAGGAGTTCAAGACCAGCTTGACCAACATGGTGAAACCCCATCTTAAAAAAAAAAAAAAAAAAAAAAAAAAAAGGCCGGGCATGGTGGCTCACGCCTATAATCCCAGCACTTTGGGAGGCTGAGGCGGGTGGATCACGAGGTCAAGAGATCGAGACCATCCTGGACAACAAGGTGAAACACCATCTCTACTAAAAATACAAAAATTAGCTGGGCATGGTGGTGCGCGCCTGTAATCCCAGCTACTCGGGAGGCTGAGGCAGGAGAATTGCTTGAGCCCAGGAGGCAGAGGTTGTGGTGAGCCGAGATCGCACCATTGCACTCCAGCCTGGGTAACGAGAGCGAAACTCCGTCTCAAAAAAAAAAAAAGAAAATTCCTGGCTTAGATCAGACGCAGTGGCTCACGCCTGTAATCCCAGCACACTGGGTGGCTGAGGCAGGTCACGAGGTCAAGTTCCGTTCAGGAGTAAATCCTATGTAGAGGCTTCTTAAAAAGGAGTTCTGGCTGAAGGTGAAACTGAAAAGAAACCTCCCTTCTTGGCCGGGCATGGTGGCTCATGCCAGTAATCTCAGCACTTTGGGAGGCTGAGGAGGAAAAATCACTGGAGGTCAGGAGTTGGAGACCAGCCTGGCCAACATGGAGAAACCCTGTCTCTACTAAAAATACAAAAATTAGCTGGGCATGGTGGCAGGCACCTGTAATCCCGGCTACTTGGGAGGCTGAGGCAGGAGAATCGCTTGAACCGGGAAGATGGAGGTTGCAGTGAGCTGAAATTGTGCCACTGCACTCCAGCCTGGGTGACAGAGTGGGATTCCGTCTCAAAAAAAAAAAAAAAAAAAAAAGGAAAAGAAACCTGCTTGGCTCACTGCAACCTCCGCCTCCTGGGTTCAAGTGATTCTCCTGCCTCGGCCTCCCAAAGTGCCGGGATTACAGGCGTGAGTCACCACGCCTGGCCTAATTTTTGTATTTTTAGTAGAGACGGGGTTTCACCATGTTGGCCAGGCTGTTCTTGAACTCCTGACCTCATGATCCGTTTGGACCCTATTTATCTACAGCCACTTGGTGCAAACCTCAGAGGTGCCCCTTCCTCAAGGCCTTTGACTGCCACCTGCTGGAACCCTGTAGTACTGCAGATTTGAGATGTCTGCTTTGTGAGTGGTTGCGCCTTCAAACCTGGTGGCTACCGGCAGTGCTCAACATCCAAGATTTTTTGAACCATATTTTGCTGACACCCTCCTCCTACCAGAATGGAGACTCACAAGCCGTCCTTTTGTCCCTTCAGGAGCACCTGGGACAGCGGTTTGTTGGCAGGGATGGTCTGCAGGATGCTGCCATCTGAGCTCACGTAGCCGATGGCCCACTGCCCCAGGCGAGTACAGCTGGGGCGGAAGATGTAGCTGGAGGGAGAGGGAGGCAGGAAGTGGTGAGGGAGTGCTCACCACCGTCCCTCCCGCGAACTCCCAGTCCCCCGACCTGGGAATCCAGGTGTCTAAGTCCTCGCCCCAGCTTCCCATCCTTTAGGCAACGGCGTGTGCTAGATCCCTGCCTGCCTCTACAGGGATATCTGCTGTTTTTGCCTGCTTGGGTCTTTTACAATAAAAAACAGTCCTGTTTCCATTTGGAGAGCTCTTCCGGCTTCACTGCAGTTTAAACAATCAGTGCATCTCAGGACCCCTGACCACAGTGATGGAAGCCCTTTCTGGGACTTTTGTTGGAAGCATCAGAACAAGGTGCCCTCTTTTTTACAGAGGCTGCTAAGAAGACGGGGTACACAGCTGGAATTTTTAGAAGTCATCTGTCACCATGAGGAGAAACCGTTTTTGAGAATGAAGCCAACACAGAGGAAAGTAGAGAAAGGGGATGAACAGGAACTGATCCCTGACAATAGCCACTGAGCACCCGGATGTAGCTGTGCCTGAAACCCACAACCTGACCTTCTTTTCTTTTTTCTCTTTTCTTCCTTTTTATTTTTGAGACAGAGTCTCATTGTGTTGCCCAGGCTGCAGTGCAGTGGCGCAATTTCGGCTCACTGCAACCTCTGCCTCTCAATCTCCTAAGGAGCTGGACTACAGGCCACACACCACCACGCCTGGCTACTTCTTGTATTTTTAGTAGAGACGGGGTTCCACCATGTTGGCCAGGTTGGTCTCAAACTCCCAACATCCTGTGATATGCCCACCTCGGCCTCCCAAACTACTGGGATTAAAGGTGTGAGCCACCACACCTGGCCTGGCCTTTTCTTTTTTTTTTTTGAGACAGAGTCTCATCCTGTCACTCAGGCTGGAGTGCAATGGCGTGATGTCGCCTCACTGCAACCTCTGCCTCTCAGGTTCAAGTGATTCTCCTGCCTCAGCCTTCCGAATAGCTGGGACTACAAGCATGTGTCATCACACCCAGCTGATTTTTTTTGTATCTTTACTAGAGACGGGGTTTCACCATGTTGGCTAGGCTGGTCTTGAACTCCTGACCTCGTGATCCACACGTCTCGGCCTCCCAAAGTGCTGAGATTACAGGCGTGAGCCACCGTGCCTGGCCTGGCCTTTTCAATTACAAGAATTTATTCTTTTATTTTTCTTTTCCCTTAAATCAGCTGCAGTGTAACTGAAGAGTGCCAATGCCCTCACCTCCCGACCCCTGCACCTCAGCCCTGCAGAGACTCACAAACCTGACCTCCTGTTCTCTTGGTATTCTAGACAGCTCAGTTCTCCGGGGGGACCCAACAGCACAGAACTCTTGGCTTGAAATAATTTAAGGACTCACATGTCTAGTTTCTCGGTCTCCTATCATACTCAAAATATTGAACAGATGGTGTCACATGGCTCTGACCTACCAGAAATGGACCTTAACCTGAAGCAGGGTTTTTGGGCTACTTGCTAGACCAGGGACTGTCCCTAAGCTGCAGGATTATGGGACAGTATGGGAGGGCTTGAGAGAAGAGGCAGGATGGCAGGGGCACTCAGTGTCCTGCCTCTGAGCTCTCAACTCTCTGGGGTCCCGGGTACCTCTGTTCCCACTCTTGGAAGGACATCTGGGCTCCACGCCGCTCCAGCCCAGAACCCAGACCCCGGAGCCCTCAGCCTGGTTCCCGAGTCCTGGACCTTTACCTGCCCGGCTTGTCCATGTAGGCCTGCAGACGCTCCCGGACCTCGTCATAGGTGAGGAAGGCCATGTAGCCTGGGTGGTTGACTGCCAGGTGCTGCCAGTTCTTGAGGAGTGTTGGCCATGGCTGTGGAGGGGCAGGGCTTGGGTCACGGAGAGACCAGGGAAGCAGCTCACATCCCTAAGCAGTCCCCAGGACCTGACAGTCCAGCCACCTCCTTTACACCCATGGGGCCTCAGGCATATCCCTTAAAAGAAGACCCCAAGCCCTTCTTTCTCCAGGATTCATGAGTTTAAGACCCTAGCCCCCTCCTTCCTCAGACCCAGGAGTCCAGTTCCCCACCCCCTCCTCGCTAAGACCCAGAAGTCCAGGCCCCCAGCCCCTCCTCCCTCAGACCCAGGAGTCCAGGCCCCAGTCCCCTCCTCCTTCAGACCCAGAAGTCCAGGCCCCCAGCCCCTCTTCCCTCAGACCCAGGCTCCAGCCCTCTTTTTCCTCCAGGACCTGAGCCTGGCTCCCAGCCGTGGCCTTCCTGACCTGGAAGAGCCTGGTGAAGATATCGAACTCGAAGATGGACACGTGCCCACTACAGGTGAGGTCGATGGTGGTGCGCAAGGCCAGGGCCGTGCAGCCTGGCTCCACTGGGTGGCAGGTGCCCAGGAGCGACTCAAATTCAGCCCAGGGTAGCACACACCTGGGTGGGAGGGGTGGGGGAGACACCGCTGAGGCCTCTGGGAGCCAAGGACGATGACGGCTCTCCAGGAGGGAAGCAGCAGTGGCCTGGCCAGGGCAGGACGGGGCTCCAGGAGGCGAGGGTCCCTGAGGACAGGGCTTACTCACCGGGCTCCGCAGCGCTCCCTCCAGAAGACGTGGGCTGGGGCCTTGGTGAGCTGGTACACATGTCCGCAGTACCTTCCCCCAGGGAAAAGCGCTCGAAGCTCTGCATGCATGTGGCTGAAGATGACGGCCAGCTTGGCCAGCTGGCGCCTGTGGGGAGGGGAAAGGACTCCCGCTGTTCTTGGGGCTTCCAACAACACCCTCTTCCTCCCTGAAAGGGGAACGCCTGCAGGGATAAGGCTCCAGACCCTCTCTCATCAGTGCGAGGTGAGAGTCCATTCCTGCAGGGCACGGTGGCTCATGCCTGTAATCCCAGCACTTTGGGAGGCTGAGCCTGGCCAACATGGTGAAACCCCGTCTATATTAAAAATACAAAAATCAGCCTGGTGTGATGGCGGGCACCTGTAATCCCAGCTACTTGGGAGGCTGAGGCAGGAAAATTGCTTGAACCTGGGGGGTGGAGGGTGACATGATCTCAGATTGGGCCACTGCACTCCAGTCTGGGTGACAGAGCAAAACTCCATCTCAAGAAAACCCAAACAAACAAACAAAAAAAAAAAAAAAAAAAAAAGAGAGAAAAGAAAATTAAAAACTATATACATGGATTTTATTAGATTTTGGCCGGGCGCGGTGGCTCATGCCTTTGGGAGGCCAAGGCGGGTGGATCACTTGAGGACAGGAGTTCGAGAACAGCCTGGCCAACATGGTGAAACCCCGTCTCTAATAAAAACTACAAATATTGGCCGGGCGCGGTGGCTCACGCCTGTAATACCAGCACTTTGGGAGGCCGAGGCGGGTGGATCACGAGGTCAAGAGATCGAGACCGTCCTGGTCAACATGGTGAAACCCCGTCTCTACTAAAAATACAAAAAATTAGCTGGGCATGGTGGTGCGTGCCTGTAATCCCAGCTACTCAGGAGGCTGAGGCACAAGAATTGCCTGAACCCAGGAGGCGGAGGTTGCGGTAAGCCGAGATCGCGCCATTGCACTCCAGCCTGGGTGACAAGAGCGAAACTCTGTCTCAAAAAAAAAACAAAAAAACCCTACAAATATTATCCCTTCGTGGTGGCAGGTGCCTGTAATCTCAGCTACTTGGGAGGCTGAGGCAGGAGAATCACTTCAACCGGAAGGTGGAGACTGCAGTGGGTCAAAATTGTGCCACCGCACTGCAGCCTGGGCAACAGAGTAAGATCCCCGACTCAAAAAAAATTATGCTGAATTTTGCAGAAATCCAGCTCTCCTATACATTAAGGGAAGACTATCTGATTCTGTATCATGGTGGTTCTACCTACAGGTACGATGTCTGACTAGTCAATTCTGCCTTCCAGCATAATTATGCCTTGGTATTTTCATTCAAAACATAGATAATATGTTAGGAAAAAACATTAATCTTATGACTCTCTTATAATTTGGACATTACAATGATTAAAAAACTATGAGTGGGTAGGTTGTTAAAACTCTGCATGTCATTTCAGGATGAATTAAGGAAATACTGGGCTGGGCTTGGTGGCTCTTGCCTGTAATCTCAGCACTTCGGGAGGCTGAAGTGGGAAGACTGCTTGAGGCCAGGAGTTTGAGGCCAGCCTAGCCAACAGAGCAAGACCTCCTCTCTACCAAAAAATAAGATTAGCCTGGCATGTGGTGCACCTGTGGTCCCAGGTACTTGGGAGGCTGAGGTGGGAGGATCACTTGAGCCCAGGAATTTGAGGCTGCAGTGAGTCATGATGGTGCCACTGCCCTCCAGCCTGGGTGACAGAGCAAGACAGTGTCAAAAAAAAAAGGCTCCCACAGCCATGAGAGCCTTGAGGTGGCTCACACCTGTAATCCCAGCACTTTGGGAGGCCGAGGCGGGTGGATCACCTGAGGTCAGGAGTTCGAGACCAGGCTGATCAACATGGAGAAACCCCATCTCTACTAATAATACAGAATTAGCTGGGCATGGTGGTGCATGCCTGTAATCCCAGTTACTTGGGAGGCTGAGGCAGGATAATTGCTTTGAACTGGGGAGGTGGAGGTTGCAGTGAGTCAAGATCACACCATTGCACTCCAGCCTGGGCAACAAGAGTGAAACGCTGTCTCAAAAAAAAAAAACGGAAACACTATAAAATATCTGATATAACGAAGTGGCATGGGGTCACTGAAATAGACCTTGTTCTGGGCCCCAAACCTTGCCTGCCCTGTCACTCCTGAGGTTCCTTCCTTCCTCAGTGCAGAACAGATTGGGGGTGGTCTCCAGGCAAGGTTGGGTCTGGAGCCAGCTGTTCCCCGGGAACTAAAGACCAAGTGGATGGTCCAGGCAGAGTCCATGATGGGGGCCTAAGGATCAGTTTCTTCGGCTGTGTCCATCTACTTCTCCTCAACCTAGGAGCCCATGGGGTCCCCACATTCTGAGGCCGGATCCTCCCAGCTTGGCCTCCCAAAGAGCTGGGATTACAGGTTCGAGCCACCGTACTCGGCCAGACCAGGCCAAGTTCTGATCACAAATGTGCACACATCTGGGGAACTTCGAATCAGAGAATAATAGTAATAGCTAACTTTTATTTTATCCTCAAAGTAGGCAGCCCCAAGAGGGCCCTGAATTCTGAGATAGTGGGATGGTGGGAACCAGAATAGGGCTACTGGGGGACCAAGGAAAAAGCAAAATGGGGGCCAGGGACATGGGTGCCCAAGGAAGGAGAAAACTGGGTGGCACATTTTCCAGGTTCCCTCAGGAAGGAGGGGCTGGGGCCTGGGTCTGAAGGAGGGGCTGGGGTCTGGATTCCTGGGTCTGAGGGAGGAGGGGCTGGGGGCCTGGACTCCTGGGTCTGAGGGAGGAGGGGCTGGGGGCCTGGACTCCTGGGTCTGAGGGAGGAGGGGCTGGGGGCCTGGATCCCTGGTCTGAGGGAGGAGGGGCTGGGGGCCAGGACCCCTGGGTCTGAGGGAGGAGGGGCTGGGGGCCTGGACCCCTGGGTCTGAGGGAGGAGGGGCTGGGGGTCTGGACTCCTGGGTCTGAGGGAGGAAGGGCTGGGGTCTAGATTCCTGGGTCTGAGGGAAGAGGGGCTGGGGTCTGGATTCCTGGGTCTGAGGGAGGAGGGCTGGGAGCGAGAGACCTGGGCCTCACCCCTGAGGACTCTGTTCTCGGGGGAAGGCTCACCTGAGTCTGGATCCCTCCCGGAAGAGTTCGTCGTTGGCGCTCCTTCGGCCCCGGGGCGGCAGCAGCTCGGCTACCTGCCTGCTCTTGGCCTCCAGATTGGCCAGGTAGATAACTAGAAAGTTCTCGGAGCCTCCGGGATCCCCCGGGTCGCCTCCGCCGGCAGCCCGACGAGCTTGAGCCACCTCTTGAAGCAGCTGCGCTGTGCGGGGCAGCAGGTCCCGAAGCGAAGGGGGACTCATGGACAGCCGGGGGTCGCTGCATTGCTCTTCCAGGCGCTGCAGCAGCCTCACCGCCCGGTCAAAGGCGCGGGCCTTTTCCCACTGTCGCCCCCGCGGGGCCAACGCCACAGCCATGGGAGAATCCCGAGTGCCGCCGGAATAGGCGCGGCCTCGCCCAGAGTGAAAGGAGAGGGCGGGCCCTAGAGAACGGGGAGGGGACTGCAGGTACTAGTGTCTCCAAAGGGGGCGTGGCTGGATGATCTGGCACGTGGGTTTTCAAGAGGTGGGATTTGGAGGCCGGAAGCGGAGGCTCATGCTTGTAATCCCAGAATTTTGTGTGGCCGAGGTGGGAGGGTCACGTGAACCAGGAGTTCAAGACCAGCCTGGGCAACATAGTGAGGCCCCATCTCTAAAAATATCTTTTAAAAATAAAATGAAATTTGACCGGGCGCTGTGGCTCACACCTGTAATCCCAGCTCTTTGGGAGGCCGAGGTGGGAGAATCACCTGAGGTCGGGAGTTCGAGAGCAGCCTGGCTAACATGGTGAAACCCTGTCTCTACTAAAAATACACACACACACACACACACACACACACAAAGTAGTTGGTGTGGTTTGAGTTTGATTTTCAAAAAGGAGCAGGATGGGGTGGTTTAGGTGGGTAGCGATAGGAGGGGGCTTCTCAGTGGGTGGGTGGGAAGTGCAGGTAGGATATCTGGGTCTCTTCAGAGAAGGGCAAGGGGCCATGGGAGGCCTGGGATTTTTTTTTTTTTTTTTTTTTTTTTTTTGAGACTGAGTCTTGCTCTGTCACCCAGGCTGGAGTGCAATGGCACAGTCTCTGGCTCACTGCAACCTCCGCCTCCTGGATTCAAGTGATTCTTCTGCTTCAACCTCCTGAGTAGCTGGGATTACAGGCACTCGCCATCATGCCCAGCTAATTTTTGTTATTTTTAGTAGAGACAGGGTTTCACCATATTGGCCAGGCTGGTCTCAAACTCCTGACCTTATGATCCGCACATCTCAGCCTCTCAAAGTGCTGGGATTACAGGCGTGAGCCACCGTGTCTGGCTTTTTGTTTTTTTCCGAGACAGGGTTTTGCTCTGTCTCCCAGACTGGAGTACAGTGGTGAGATCTTAGCTCACTGCAACCTCTGTCTCTCAGGCTCAAGTGATCCTCCCACTTCTGCCTCCCGAGTAGCTGGGAACTCAGGCACGCCTCACGAGTCCCGGCTATTTTATTTTATTTTTGTGTTTTTAGCAGAGATGGGGGTCTCACCATGTTGCCCAGGCTGGTCTTGAACAACTGAGCTCAAGAGATCCGCCCACCTCAGCCTCCTAAAAGTGCTGAGCTTGCAGGCGTGAGCCAGCGCGCCCTGCCGGGGAACTCTTGTCGGAGGGCGGGAGAGGTCTGGGAGCTACCGGGGAGGTGGGACTTTGGACTCAGCCCTCCTGAGTCGTGGTGGAGGTCTGGATCTTTGGTCGTGGCACGGGGTTAAAGGTCAGAGAGCTGAGATTTCAAGAAGGAACGGGTCAGGGAGGCATTGCTATCTCTCTGTCCTCGAGGAAGGAGGCACAGAGCCACCAGGCCCCTGGGTCTCCTTTCAGAAGGGTTGGAAATAGGTGTCTGAGGGGCAGGAATTTGGCAACAAGATTCCTGGGTCCCCACGACGGTGTGGCCTGCGAGAAATCAGGCCTGAGTTAAGTAAGATACCCCTGAGTCCCGAAGAAGCCAGGCGGGAAGATGGGGTTCAAGACTGCGGTGGCGGAGAGCGACTGATTTGCGCAGGGGCGGCCGCGCGCGGCTTTTACCCAACCTGTGGAACCCGTAACGTCAGCCTGGTTGCGCGCTGGGCAGCCACACGGGGCGCTGTCGGCCGCGCCTTCCCTCCGCCCCTAGTGCCTTCCAGCCACGCCCCACCCCTGGCCAAAACGTTTTTTTCTTCTGTGATACAGGGTCTTGCTGGGTCTTGCTCTGCAGCTCAGGCTGGAGTGCAGTGGCCCTATCATAGCTCACTGCAGCGTGGCTCTCCTGGGCTCAATCAATCCCCCCTGCTCGGCCTCCCAAAGAGCTGGGATTATAGGCGTGAGCCACCAGGCCTGGTCAGACCAGGCCAAGTTCTGATTTCAAATGTGCATCTATCTAGAGAGCTTCGAATCAGTAAATAGTAATAATCCACTTTTATTTTGTTTATTTTTATTTTTTTGGGGGGGGACGGAGTTTCGCTCTTGTTACCCAGGCTGGAGTGCAATGGCGCAATCTTGGCTCACTGCAACCTCCGCCTCCTGGGTTCAGGCAATTCTCCTGCCTCAGCCTCCTGAGTAGCTGCGATTACACGCATGCACCACCATGCCCAGCTAATTTTTTGTATTTTTAGTAAAGACGGGGTTTCACCATGTTGACCAGGATGGTCTTGATCTCTTGACCTTGTGATCCACCCGCCTTGGCCTCCCAAAGTGCTGGGATTACAGGCGTGAGCCACTGTGCCCGGCTGTTTTATTTTTTTGAGACAGGGTCTTGCTCTGTCTCCTAGGCTGGAGTGTAGTGGTGTGATCACTACTCATTGCAGCCTTGACCTCCGGGGCTCAAGTGATCCTCTACTAAAAGTACAAAAATTAGGCCAGGCGCAGTTGCTCACGTCTGTAATCCCAGCACTTTGGGAGGCCGAGGTGGGTGGATCACTTGAGGTCAGGCGTTTGAGATCAGCCTGGCCAACATGGCGAAATCCCATCTCTATTAAAATACAAAAATTACCTAGGTGTGGTGGCAGGTGCCTGTAATCCCAGCTACTTGGGAGGCTGAGTCAGGAGAATCGCTTGAACCTGGGAGGTGGAGGTTGCAGTGAGCCAGGATCACACCACCATACTCTAGCCTGGGTGACAGAGCAAGACTCCATCTCAACAAATAAATAAATAAATACAAAAATTAGCCGGGCATGGTGGTGTGCCTCTAATCCCAGTTACTCAGAGGCCGAGGCAGAAGAATTGCTTGAACCCAGGAGCGGAAGTTGCAGTGAGCCAAGATCACACTGCTGTACTCCAGCCTGGGTGACAGAGTGAGACTCTGTCTCAAAAACAGCACCAACAAAAAACAAAAAGAAAAAAAAGCAAAAAAACCGGGATGGAAACCCAGGCGTTGACTATGCAAGTGTTGGCAAGGAGGTGGTGTGAGTGCAAATGGACGAGCTAGATTGGAGAGCAACTTAGCAGCATTTGTGAGACCTTTGGCCAAAAGGACAGGGCGGGTCCACGTCCGGCTGCCTCTTTCAGAGCTGTGGTTTGTAAACACTTTTGCTGATGTCGAGACATTGGGACAGCAAAACACCTGAAGTGAGAGTTTCACAGGAGAGCTCTCACTCGGACTGTGAGCCTGGACTCTAATGTATTCTATTTAATTTCATTTTATTAAGGGAAACATGGTTTATAACCCACTAAATTGATTTTGCAACCCACTAATGGATCTTGTTCGGCCGTTTGAAAAATACTGCCCTAAGAAACTCCAAGAGACATGTTCAGGGATGTTAATTGCGTTCTTGTCGGAAGTGGAGGAGAGTGGAAACAAGGTGGGCGGGTGTTCACCACCATCAGTCCGACATAAACTGTGGCGTGCTCTCACAATAAAACCCTTGTGCAGCAATTAAGGTGAGTGAACTGGACACAAATACCAACCGTGTGTGTCATGAACACATAATGATGAGTGGCCTGGGTTGAATCGTCCCCTCCCTGCCAAATTCACGTCGGCTGGAACTTATGAATGTGGCCATATTTGGACATAGGCCTTTGGATATGTAATCAGGTTAGGATGAGGTCGTATTGGATTGGGGGTGGGTCCTAAATCTGACTGATGTCCTTATGGAAAGGAGATTTGGATACCGTTACAGCTGTGCCTGTGCGCATGCGCACGCACACACGAAACGTGTGATGATGGCAGCAGAGAGATTGGAGTGATGCATCTATAACCAACGAATACCAAGGACGATCGGCGAACGCTGGAAGAGGGTGGTGCTCACGCCTGTAATCCTCGCACTTTGGGAGCCCAGTGTGGGAGGATTGGTTGAAACCAGGAGTTTGCGATCAACTTGGCAACATAGCCAGGCCCTATCTCTGCAAAAAAAGAAAAATAAAAAGACCAGGTGTAGTGGCACGCTGCCTGTGGTCCCAGCTACTCGGGAGACCGAGGTGGGAGGATTGCTTGAACCTGGTAAGCAGAGGTTGCAGTGAGCCAAGATCACGCCATTGCACCCCACTCCTGGGCAATAAAAGAGAGAAAACCTCATCTCAAAAAAAAAAAAAAAGGAAGAAAGAAAAAAAGAAAAAAAATCTGCAACTATATGAACTCTTTTCCCAGATTTGATCCAGGTTTTAAAAAAATTTTTTTAATTAAAACAAAAAATTTTTTTTTAATAGAGACGGGGTTTCACCATGTTGGTCAGGATGGTCTCGATCTCTTGACCTCGTGATCTGCCTGCCACGGCGTTCCAAAGTGCTGGGATCACAGGCGTGAGCCACTGCGCCTGGCTGATCCAGGTTTTTTGTATCCACTTTGCAACTATATGAACTGTATTTCCAGATTTGACCCAAAGTGGATACAAACGAAGTGAATGACATGAAAGGATGCTCCACAATATGTTCTGTTAAGGAAATGAACATGAAAACCACAGTGAATGCCGCTTCACATCCACTAGGACGACCGTCATAAACGAGACAATCACAAGTGTTGGCAAGGACGTGGAGAAATTGGAAAGCTCTACACTGCTGGCGGGAATGTAACATGGTGCAGCTGCTTTGGAAAATAGTTTGGCAGCTCCCCGAAATGTTAAACATAGGGCTAGAGCATTCCTATGTGTATATATATATTCCAGAGAATTGAAAGCACACATCTACCCAAAGACTTGCGGAAACAACCTAAACGTCCATCAGCTGAAGAATGGATGAACAAAATGTGGTCTATTCATACAACAGATAATTGTTTGGCCATTAATAAGAATGAAAGTGGCCAGGTGTGGTGGCTCATGCCCGTAATCCCAGCACTTTGGAAGGCTGGGCTGGCGGGTCACCTGAGGTCAGGAGTTCAAGATCAGCCTGACCAACATGGATAAACCCATCTCTATAAAAAATACAAAATTAGTCGGGCGTGGTGGTGCATTCCTGTAATCCCAGCACTTTGGGAGGCCAAGGCTGGCAGATCACCTGAGGTCAGG